GTTCCCGTGCGATGTCTCATTGGAAAGCTCATAAATAACGTTATGCTATAATATCCAGTCAATTTAAAAATCGCTTTTTCGAGGTGCCAAAAAAAGCACGTATACACCAACTGTACAATTAGGTAATTTAGATGAAACTCGGTTTGATCTAGGCCTATACAACGTCGTATCCATCGTTCTCACTACAAACGGGAGGAGGGGGCAACCAGTGGGGGTGGGAATGGATACTTGGGTGGCCAATTTCTGTGAAACCCGTTAACCATGGTCACTGATATTTCCAGTGAAGTTAGCAACAATTTATTTTCGTGATGGTGGACCGTGAGGGGGGGGGGGGGAGTTTCTTATGCAGTATAAGTAGATGTTAATGTCATTATAGGGGTTGGTATTATTAATGGTGAAGGAGTTGTGCCGCGAAGTATTTTATTTGTAAAAGAGAGTAAAGCTAAAAGGAAGGACATAGAAGTAACACTTCATAATGTGAAGCACCACATGTTAAATGTGTTTATTACAAACTGGCAAAATGAAATCAGGTCTGCACGAAATTTTTGAGTAAATAATGTCTTTACATTCATTACAGTGTAGTACTTTGACAAAACTCAGAGGATTTAATCGTGGTCAATTTTTCGGAGCGATTTTCGCAAGGGACGTCGGTCCAGAGTTGTGTTACATGATGAAAGACTTTCAAGCAAGACGGCCAAAGGTTATTGTGCAGTCACAGTTATTTTTGTGAAAAGTTGTAATAATAAATAATGACGAGGCATTGTAAGTTACAAGAGAACATTTGTTTAATGAGTGTTGATGAATACTGATGAGAAATGGAGGGGTATGCGGGAATGACCGTTTTATTCTGAATTCTAAGAGTGGTTATGTAATTTGGTAATCAAAAACATTTTTGGTTTATCAAATAAGTCTGCCAGTAAAGGTCTACTGCAGTATTTTATTTTTTACAGATTGACACAATCTGCTTCGCCAGTATTTATCTGGTACTTATGTCATAATTATTCTTGCGTACAACTAAGGCAAGGACACAAATATATCAATAAAAAAGGATGGAACTCAAACATCAGAAAAGAGTTATTATTCGCACTATTTCATGACTTCTAAAAATGAAATTATGGCTAGAAGAAAAATGTGTTTTGAACGGGTGAGGAGAAGGAGCAGGAATCTTGCAGTTGTAACTGGAAATAATAGGTGTGCCACGTCTTCGTCTTGAGTTGAGATTGTACTTTGGGTACTGGTTGGAGCATGGTTGGAGCTTGTTGGAGCTGGTCGTGTGATGTGGTTGTCAGGGAGTCCTGTGTAAATGAGTAACAAAAAAATAACGACTAAGGTGAACAAAACTTGTAAAAAGAAATCGACTAACAATAGCTACACATAATAAAATGAAAGACATTCAGGTGTCGCAATACCCCATTTATGCAGAATGTACTACTGGAGTACCAACCAAACATGCCGAACAACAAAACATTGGCTTGAGGTTCTTACTTTGTTGTAGTCTTAAGTTTTTATTTTAGGAGTCAGTCATTTAAGTTGGTTATTGGTCTTTGATTTGCAGTAAATTAATTTTGTTTTGCCTTTGAAGATAATTTGTTCAGGAAGTTTTTTTCTATGACTGCCCTGTTCTAAGATCTCCGCAAAGATTTAATTTGCTTCATTGTTATGTACGTTTCGTGGCCTATAAAAATTATAACCCTTGAATCAGATAGGATACGTGCTGGATTCCCCCATGCTGTGTGTAGCCCTTCTGTTTATTCCAAGGATTTGCATACCTTACATGCATTATCAGCCTCATAGCGCTGTACAGTTTCTGAAGTTTGTGAGGCGTTTATCCCCTGCAACGCAGGAGGATACTTTTCTTATTAAAAATACTCAGTGCATGGTCTATGCAAAGGAGTGAGCTAGAAGAAAACATATTTTCTTCTTTTGTACTCTTTGGGACATCATTGTCTGGAATGTTCTTTTATGTAACAAAGTTGTCAAGATTAGCGGTGATCGTACATAATATAATTCTTCTTGTTTTGGCATGTTTTAATATTGTATTTCAGTAATCATTTCTTTGATTAACCCTAATAGGGCCGGGTTATTTTGACCATCTCTCAGCCGGGGGGGGGGGGGAGGATTCCGCCCCCCCCCTAAGATCTCGATCATCGAGTGGCGAAAAATTTTGAAACTCGGCACATGCATAGAGCAACTCTTCCTAAACATACCCAAGAAATTTCATGACTATAGGTCAAAGGGTTTTGGAATTATGGCTAATTAATTATTCATATGTCACTGTATGTACGAATGGCAATTCTGCTCAAAATATAGATGTCAGATATAGATGTCAGATTCACAGAAGACAGATTCACAGAAGACAGAACCTTCTGAAATGCGTGTGATTTGGAAAAGTTTACTTGAGTAAAACAAAGATATTGTCAATGTCCGAGGCCCGAATGGCATTAGTTTATTTGTGATTTGAAAAAAAGTTTCTTTGAGTAAAACCATACTATCAATGTCGGAGGCCTACGCGATTGAGCAATTTTCACAAACAACAATGTGGAAACGGCAACATTGAAAATGTTTCTCATGATTTATGTCATTGCCAGTGTCGTAAGAAAGAATGACTATAATATATTTCCAAAATGACAGGGCCCTGTCACACTTCTGCTAATTCCTTATGATTTGCGCATTGACATTTTTTTCATACGTTGTCGTACGCACAATACGCACCTCATATGCATCTCTATCGTTTTGTGTAGGTTTTATGTACGCAGATATACGCATGGTACGGCCCAGTTCGCAGGAAAGTTTTGGGCATGCATGACGCACCCGGTCAGCATAATTATGAGCCGCCTGTATTGGACTTTTAGCGCAGCGTACTTGCAGCGCAGATGCAACGCACGCTGAAAGGCGAGCGGCGGAAATGCGGCGGGAATAACGCTCAGAAGTGCGTCAAGCATGCGTTAGGCATAAGTCGGGTGCGTCCGGAATACGCTCGGCATGCGCACTGCATACTGACCTATTCACAGCCCGAAAATTAATGTTGTGCATTGCATACGCAACTCATACGCATCTCATACGCAATGGATGCGCTGAATTCGTTACTTGTACGCTAGATGTGCGTCGCACATAAGTTAAAGTGATCAAAACATTTTGACGTTAATTGAGCGTACGGCTGCGTATTGGAATTTTTTGGTAAGGAACTCATAAGGAATTAGGATACGCAAAAGTGTGACAGGGGCTTAAAGCCCCTGTCACACAATTGTTTTGATATCATTCCTAACACGCAATATAGCCTATCGGTCTGTTAAGCCGCGTATCCTAATTCCTTATGAGTTCCTTATCAAAATGTTTCAATACGCAGCCGTACGCTCAAAACGTGCGTCAAGCATGCGGTCGGCATAGGTTGGGTGCGTCCGGAATACGCTCGGCATGCGCACTACATACTGACCTATTCACAGCCCGACAAATAATGTTGTGCATTGCAAACGCAACTCATACGCATCTCATGAGCAATGGATGCGCTGAATTCGTTACTTCTGCGCTAGATGTGCGTCGCACATAATTCAAAGTGATCAAAACATTTTGACATTAATTGAGCGTACGGCTGCGTATTGGAATTTTTTGATAAGGAACTCATAAGAAATTAGGATACGCAAAAGTGTGACAGGGGCTTAAAGCCCCTGGTCACACAATTGTTTTGATATCATTCCTAACACGCAATATAGCCTATCGGTCTGTTAAGCCCCTGTCACACTTTCACGTATCCTAATTCCTTATGAGTTCAATACGCAGCCGTTCGCTCAAAACGTCGAAATGTTTTGAATACTTTGACTTATGTGCGACGCACATCTAGCGTACAAGCAACGAATTCAGCGCATCCATTGCGTATGAGATGCGTATGAGTTGCGTATGCAGTGCACAACATTATTTTTCAGGCTGCGAATAGGTCAGTATGCAGTGCGTCTGCTGAGCGTATTCCGGACGCACCCAACTTATGCCGACCGCATGCCTGGCGCAATACGTCGGCATTCGCTATGAGTTCGTTCAGCGTGCGTTGTATCTGCGCTGCAAGTACGCTATGTATATGTCCAATGTAGGCGGCTCATCATGCTGACGGGGTGCGTGCCTGGAGGTCAGCGTATTACTGCGTATGAACCGCTTATCCCCCACGAACACATAGCGTACTCCTACCGTGCTCGACCGATGTGGGACCGATGCGCTGCGTATTTATAACTTATGACCTGCGTAACAGCGTACGCAGCCTAGTTTTGTGCATGCCCAAAACTATCCAGCGCACTGGGCCGTACCATGCGTATGCCTGCGTACATAAAACTTACACAAAAAGATAGCGATGCATATGAGGTGCGTATTGTGCGTACGACTGCGTATGAAAAAAATGTCAATGCGCGACTTATAAGGAATTAGGCTACGCAGAAGTGTGACAGGGCCCTAAGGGTTTCGAGAAGACAACCGACATGTTCGCGCGGGACAATAAATGGCCACCGTTAGAATTTCTTATCACTCTGATCTGCAAATAAACGTACCACGTCACTCAGGGGCCCAAAGGCAAGACGGCGCGGCCCAATTAGTCCGATGGAATATCGAGGAAAAAAATCGCCCCCCCCCCCCAAAAAAAACCCACGCAATCCTCAAAAGTCCAGTCCATCAACTCTCTTCCTCACCCGAAGCACAAACACACGAATTTTCGCGACAATTCAGGACAAAATGGCGATGCCCGCACGCAAGGGAATCATGGGAAATAGGGTGGGAATAGCCGGGCCCCGTTCCGCATCCCCCGCGGAAAACTGGCACGGGCGGGACGGGAGACCGGTCGGGAAAATGGCAGCGCTCAGTTACTTAATCCAATTATTTTCGTGATTGTAGTATAGAAGAATCACAGGACATACATTTACATACCCACACGTAAACACATACGGGTGACACGGCTGTCGATTCATTTGCGACTTTTTTCTTTCTGGATCTCTTAAATTGCGACTATTATTGTCATTTCACAGAAACGAATTTCCAAGATGTTTTCTTTGATGCCAACAATCGAGGGAACTTCCAACTCGGCTTGTGGCACCGCATTCCCTGTCGATGCTATCGTTCCGGGGAGAACCTGCTCGCCATATACTGGTTCCGGGGACAAAGCGTGTCCGACCCTAACAAAGTAGTCGTTAATAGCTACGCCAACAACCAATACTTTCCAATCAGCGATCGATACACATTTTCGTCAGAGTTTAGTCTCGTCGTCAAGGATGTCAGAGAGAGCGATGCAGGGAGATACATTTGTCAGGTTGTGCCGCGTTCTACGAGCGCGAGGGATGACAAGACGGATATGCAGGTCATCGGTAAGAAATAAATGAACGTCTAGTCTGTTTGTGTTAAATACATCACGAAATACACAGACAGTTTTCATTAAAAGTAAGTGTTTGGCTGCATACACCATGTGAGAAAAAAATACATATGTGTTGCTCTGGGGAGAACTTAAAACGATGGCTCTTTTTTTAAAGCTCGGCATCGCGTATTAAATGCAAATTCAGCTGTTGAAAACATTTTGTGGGTCAACATTTTGTCATGATACTGTCCTTTTCTGACAAAAAAACCCACTGAAGCATTAAAACATAACATTAGCCATAGCAAACCCTTAAACGTCTTTTGACTTTTTTGTGCCGAAGCATCATGTGAAACTGAATTTACTGTCTTGAATAACGCTACAGTTTTGCATTTAAACAATATCTCAGTCAGTGCACCGGCTTTATTAATTTATCATCGGGTCAGCTGTCTGCACCATATAGCCCTCTGCACTCACAAGCTACGTTCAGATCAATCAAATCTGTATTTCCATTCAGACATAAGCCCCCCCCCAAAAAAAAAAAAAAAAAAAGAAAGAAAGAAAGAAAGATACATACATATAGGGGCGGGAGAAGAAGAAAGAATAAAAAGCATGTACGCGATGACAGGATTGATATAAATAGAAGATGAGGCAAAATATAAAACAGACAGACGTAATAAACCTAAGCAATGGGTCAATGTTGTGGTCATGTTGATTGTGCTCAATGTAGATTTTCTTTTTATCTCGCCCGTTGGCTGATTACATGTACGATTAGAGAGGCTTGATAACTACTGTGCTTTCATAGAATACGACTTATTTATACCCATACTCCTCTTGTATATAACAGTCAACTGTCAGATGGTTTCAATTCTTTGACGTGAACACAGGTGACACTTTTCCAGCCTGCACCACTGACGCATCATCGAATGCTACTTTCCAGCGAGGACGCAGACAGACGCTACCGTGTGAGTGTGCGTCACAGGTGCCAGATGCGCACATATCCGTAGTGTATTGGTCAACAGGAGAGGGCGTCACTATGGAGACACAGATCATTGGTGCACGTTTCTCTGATGGTACCTTGGTTCAGTTCCAAGATGGCGCAGATTACAGTATTAATAACGATTCTTCCCTCACAATCAACTTTTTGGGTGGACTTAGTAACGCATCGCGTTTTTGGTGTCACGTCTTCATGGCAGATGTTCCAGAGCGCAACTGCTTCTACGATGTTCATATTGAAGGTATGTTAATGTCATAGTTCACATATGAAACCCCTTTATATGTAGCAGTCCACTAGAGTGGATTGTTTTGATATATAGATATATATCAAAAACAATCTACTCTAGTGGAGTGCTACAAAGACAGCATTTTCCTCCTAGTTGTAGATATCAAGCCTAGGATTTCCTTTTCACCAGCCCTTTTATAGCCAGCCCAATTTGTACACATGATTTTGGAACAGACTTGTAAGAATAGCCAAATGAACGGAATTGTGTGTTCTCTGAGACCAGTTTTACTATGATTGACTTATCCTGTTTTTTTCCCCAGAGAATCCCGCTGACAACCGTCTTCAAGCCTCGGCCTCATCTTTCTACCTTCAGGAGGGAAGAAATCAAACCATTCCCTGCATTGCATGGTCGCCCGGTGATCACCTATGCCTGGTACAGTGGTTTAAAGTCGACACCCCGTTGGGTCGACATCTCATCCTCAATTACTCACTGTCCACTGATGGCATTGACGCCTATCCTGGATTCGGTGTCGATGATGGTTTTGGCCTGTCCATCAAATCCGTTAATGACACCTATACAGGAAGGTATATGTGTATCCTGGACAGCAATTCCACACACGAGGGCGCAATCGACGTTCATGTATTCGGTACGTCATGCATTATTATGATTTTAAATAATGCTTTTATGTTGATTGGCAAATACATTAAATTTGAACTATACTGTATTTCCATAATCTCGAATAATCGTTCTTATCTGTATAAATTATGTATATGAACTTGTACAATTTACTTTCATTACATGTGTGCATTAGTGTTTAAATCAGAACAGATTTGATTAAATTATCAACTGAACTATGCACGTATAATCACTTATAAGCGGTTTGTTTTCAAAACCCAGAGTTGTAAATTCAAGTTTCATGCACTATGGTTTGTTCTCATACATTCTTAAAACAGGTGACAAATTTCCTCTGGATAACGGGACTGTCATCATGAATATCACTGTAACCTTTGACCCCTCTAAGATACAAGAACTGAATTGTCCCGCTGGTACAAATTCCATCGGGACGAATAAGCCAACAGTGCTCTGGTCGTATGGCCCGCCAAAAGCGACAACGACCACTATAATTGGTCGGCTAAATCTACCAGGTGGCACTCCGGAGATGTCTCAGCTGGGACACAGCGGCTGCTTCGGTATAACATCGGCAGGATCCCTCCTCCTGAACAAGTGTCCCCAAGAATCTGACGTCAGATTCTGGTGTCACGTCTTTCCCCACGGTGATGTGTTGCAGAGATTCTACGTGGATGTTATCATCACAAGTGAGTACAGAGGATTTCAAATTATAAATACGAAAAATCCTTTATTTATCTATTCATATTAATTTGAAACATGATGTTCTTCGAAGGATGATTTCAAATGTTAATTGAATTGTCTGCCAATCAACTGCCAAGTTCATTACTAAAAGACCCCTTGGACAGTGCGCCCTCTCTGGGGACCATTTAAACAGAGGGTGTGCGCTTGTGGTTTACAGAGGAGCACATACCGATCATATGGTAGGACGATATGCGGAAGAGGTCAATTTCACAATGGATGGGTTACAAAACGATTTATTTGTAATGTTTAACTGACAGGTGCCGACCAGCATATGCCTACACATATCATAATCGTATGTGTCTGTTCATCTGCAATTTTCATCGCTGTTGGTTTGTGCTTGGTATTGAGATTTCGCAGACGATGCTCAACTGGTGATGGGGAGCAAGGAAGCTACGTAAAGGTTGATAAGACAGGTATGTGATTGTATTCTCCCTTAGTCTGCCATCTTTGTTTAACCATAAGAATACGTTTATAATTAAACAATGTGACATGACATCTCCTCATAATAGTGCAACCACTTCCTGCATCGTGCAAACCTTGACATCTCATCCTTGTTTAACTAGTTAAACTTGCAATAATGATCATTGTCTCATGTTTGCCACATCGTCATATAAAAAAAAACACATATTTACTTTAAATTAAACAAATTTTGTTTGAATCATTTTTATAAGGTTATCGTCTGGCCCTTTATGTCATGATTAAATCCCGGTGAGGTAATACAGAATTGTAAAACCTCCTCAACGAATAATTGTACGGAACCTAACTTGCCTTGTTAAGCTATGTCGTTGTAAAGCTTACGTTTTTTCCTTTTATCTACCATTATAATTAGATCCAGAATTGCACTTCCAAAGACTGGTTGAAGAAGTCAAAAAGTTTACATCACAGCTTACGGGGGACGATGCTAACTTCGCTGTGACGGATGCTGTGTTTACACCGCCAGAATTGTTTGGTATCTCGGATATCAAAGGTAGCTCTGTAAAATACAGATTAGAGTCAATAAAGGAAATCTTTTGTGATGGCATATCTGAGTTGTCAGGTAATGTTCTTTTGCAGGGGAGAGAAGGGAGTGGTAAAACAACCATCTTGTATAGGATGGCTCTTGAATGGCTTATAGAGAGGCCCGATGCTGTTTTGCAGCAGGCAAAGCTAGTCTTTGTTTTATCGTGCAGGACAATTCTTCAAACAAGAAACATTGGGAAGGCAGTTTGGCATCAAATGCTTCAGAAAAAGTCAGCTTTGTCACCAGGGTTTATCAACGGTTACTGTGCGGATCACCCAAGTGATGTGGTAATTCTTGTCGACGACTGCGATGATAAAGCTGACGTTGAAGGTGTAATGAAAGTCCTAAAAGATCAGGGTCTTCTTGGATGCAACGTTGTTATGGCAACAAGGCATACCCAATGGGAACAGGATATCTGTAAAAAAGGTAGGCCTTACTTACGGCATGTTATTACCAACGGGTTCAAAACAGGTGATCTACATAAATACGTTAAGAATATGTTCACTATCAGTGGCATTGCAGATTCGGATACTCGTGCGAGTCTCTCTGAGTATTTACGTGCAGATATTCTGCCGCCAAGGCTTTCCTGTCTCCCAGGCATTCTCCGCACTTTGTGTAAGTTGTCCAAGTGGACGAAGGGAAAAGCCTTCAAAGATTCGCCAACCATGACCGATTTGTTTACCAGGTTAGTGCAATGCTTGTTTGACAATAGTCAACCCACTGCTGAACAGGATCAGGATACACATAACGGGGAAGGAAGAGACCCAAATGATAGGCTCACAAAGGAACAACTCGACGTCGTGGTTGGACTTGGTAAGGTTGCCTTCTTCAAAATCATTGACGGTTCTGACAATCCTGTTCATTAACCAAGACTGACTTTGTTGATGAATCCGGAAATGGGCAGAGTATCCTCGACATTGGTGCGAAGGTAGGCCTCATTTGTTATGATGATGAGGTGGACCTTGAGTCTGAAAGAAGTCAGATCCCCTCTTCAGGCAAAGATAGCACATTTCTGTGTTGCACTCGTGGGGATGTTGGTAAACTAGAAACTGGAGCAGAGGGTGTGGAGTTGGTTCCGTTACGACCTAAAGATAAGGAAGTTAGGTTTGCTATTGAGGTTCTGCGAGAGTATTGTGCCGGTATGTACATGTCACAAACAAGAGAAAACATCTCCACATGTATGGAAGCAATCAAACAAGTTGATGTTCTGAAGAATGTTGACAAGCTGGCAATCGTGTTTTCTTTTGCCAGTGGGGGGAGTTCAGCTGCTTGTTCTGCACTCGTCAGGCACCTGGTCAACGAAATCACATCTAAGCAACAAGTGCGAAATCTTGCAGACGTTTTGCAGTTGCAAAAATTGATCGAATTGTGCCTTCAATTGAACTTCGAAGGTAAACGTGGAGGTTCTTTGAACAAGGAGCTTCGTACATTGTTTACGTACAATAGGGTACGTTTAATCGGAATTTCGAAACACAAGCTGCGGCTTCTGTCGTACTTGCTGAAATATGCGGAGCAAGCAAGCACAGGTTGCGGATTAAATCTGACGTCAGTTGAGCTGTTCCGGTTTGAGAACCATGACTGGGACGAGCTGCAGAAATACCTGGATGAGTTTGCTATAGGATCTTCTAAAGGTATCGCTTGCAAAAACCTCGGCAATTTGCGGGAAATTCCAAAGCAGGCGTGTCTGGAAGAGAAAATAGAATCAAACGGATTTCAAAACGAGTCTCTGTTTCTGAATTACCAGTCAGGCAGAACCGGTGTTGTCTCTACGTTGGAGTCTGTTGCTCTTCATGATCTTATAGAGTCACAGTGCGGTGACTGTTTGATGTCAACATCAACGGGAATGCTGGTCTCTTCCCTCTCGAATCTGAAAATGGTAGATAGCATCACTCTGATAGGCAGTATCTTGAGTTCTGGCGAAATTTGCAGTCTTGTAAAAGTTCTTGTAAAAGTAAAAATGACCGAATTGTGCCTTCAACTGAACTTCGAAGGTAAATGCGAAGGTTCTTTGAACAAGGAGCTTCGTACATTGTTTATGTACAATAGGGTACGTTTGATGGGAATTTCGAAACACCAGCTTCGGCTTCTGTCGTACCTGCTGACATATGATGGGCAAGATAGCACACAAAGCAGTTTAAATCTTACATCAGTTGAGCTGTTCCGGTTTGAGAACCATGACTGGGACGAACTTCAACAATACCTGGATGACTTCTCTGAAGGGTCGACCAAAGGTATCACTTGCGAATACCTCGGCAACTTGACGGAAATTCCAAAACAATCGTGTCTGGAGGAGAAAATAAGATCATGTTATCAAAACCAGTCTCTGTTTCTCCGTCAGGAGTCTGACGGTGCCACTGCTCTGTCCACCCTGGAGTCTGTTGCTCTACATGATCTTAGAGAGTCACAGTATGGTGACTGTTTGATGTCAACATCAACGGAAATGCTGATCTCTTCCCTCTCAAATCTGAAAATGGTTGATAGCATCACTCTCATTGGCAGTATCTTGAGTTCTGGCGAAATTTGCAGTCTTGTCAACAGGGTTCTTTGTCATCTGCCAAACCTGCAAAAATTAGACCTACGGCTGAATCAAGGGATTGATGATGTTGCATTCAGAACAGTGGCGTGTGCGCTGATGCACTGCAAATCTCTGATTGACCTCAGGCTTTCACTTTTTAAGGTGACAGATGAGGGTTTCTCTGAAGTGAGACAGTTGATGGAGAAGGAAAAGGGGTTGACATGGGAAAAGTTGACGACGCTGTATCTGCTTCATTGCGACCCAAGTGATTCATTCGTGAAATTCCTTCTGAATTACCTGAAACAACTGAATGTCCTGTACATATCCGGTCGTACAGGGGTTGACGACAGAGTGTCAACAAAGAGTCAAAGAGTCAAAGCTGATGGAGAATGTTGAGAGGCCTATTATTGACAAGATGGAGTCATTAAAAGGAGTCACATCAAAACTTAAGATTCAACAGCAGTCAAGAGGGCATTCAGTCGTCGTGAAGCGTGTACTTCTTCGTTAGAGTACAATATTATGCAAAACGTCAAAAGATATACTTGTGAGGATTCCTAGTTGCAAAGAAGCGTTTTTCCATATCGGGACACGCTAAACAGCCGAACCGACAATTTTTCCATTCATCATCATCATCATTAGCCTAATTCATTCCACTGCTGGATGAAGGCCTCTCCACCATGCTTTTCGGTCCCTTGCCAGTTGTTTCCATTTCTTCCCTATGAAATCAGAGATTTCATCTCGCCATCTCTTAGGCTGTCTTCCTCTTCGCCGCTTCAATGATAATGGCGTCCAATCCGTTACTTTCAGGGTCCATCTGTGGTTGTCTCTTCTCATGACATGTCCTGCCCAACTCCACTTTTTCTTTTTGATCTCAACTATTATGTCTTGCACCCCTGTCTTTCTTCTAAGATCTCCGTTCCTTATTCTGTCTCTCTTTGTGACCCCAATCATTATTCTTTCCATCGCCCGTACAGTGACTCGCAATTTTTGCTCTGATTTCTTTAAAGGTGCCCAAGTCCCAGCGCCATATGTTAGAACTGGGATGAGGCACTGGTCGAAGAGTTGATGCTATATCTTTTGCAGTATTTTTCTGTCCTTAAATATGTAACGCAACTTGCCAAATTTTGCCCATGCAAGTTGTATTCTCCTCTTAATCTCCTCTGAATTCCCAACCTTAAATGTGATCTTCTGTCCCAAATATATGTACTCATCTACTGTGTCCAGTGTTTCATTCCCCACTTTAAATTGTGTTATGCCTGTGTTGGAATTGGACAACATTTTCGTCTTCTTGATATTTATCTTAAGGCCAACTTTTCTACTTCCATTTAAGTTGGCCCAAATGTCTTATCTTTTTCCACATACCCGGGTTTGTGATCAGAGTGGTCCTTCTCCAAGGTGGAATGACAACCACGTCTAACGAGCTCCACCTATCGGCTCAACCTGGTTATAGCGGTTATATTGCAAAGTTTAATAACTTCAGGAGTTATATCATTAGGTCCTCAACATTTGCCTATCTCGATATACTCATCCGCTTTTTCATGTTTTAGGAAGCTTAATGGTCCATCGTCAATATTGAGAATTTCAAGCACAACTGAGCGCTCATCAACAGCCCCCTGAACAATAGGTGGTTTTCCTAAAAGGTCCTTGCAGATCATGTATTCCTTGGCGCCCCCTTCCAGTTTCCGAGCTTGTCTTTTTCTCCTACTGGTACCTTTTTGATGATGTTCTAGAATTCACTGAGCTTCTGAATGGCATATGCAGCTCCTACCCCTCAATCCTTTCACTGATATTAGAATTCTCTAACGTCTTCCGTGTTATTGATGTAATTAGTATGTGCTTAAAGCCATGTTTTTAGAGTGTTGCTGTTTCTTCCCTTGCTTCTGCGAGAGAACATGTGCACCTTAACTGTCGTATTTGCATGGATGAAACGTTCATACCTCATGGTTGGACATTCGTCATAAGCTGGTACTCTTCTCTACACTGTATCGTTGTTCGAGTTCAGTGTCCGTCGAGATTGCTATACAGTCATGCTTTATCTTCCTTCCCCTGATGGCCGAGGGGATATGAATGATTCTAAATGTCATAGATTCAATTCTGTGTTCAGAACTAACGCTTGAGAAGCTGCATGCATCAGCATTCATAACGCGTAGTTCCTTCATTTTCTTTGCTTTGCACGAGAATATTAGCCAGCTGATATCTAATAACTTAATGGCTGATATACGTCCATCTCCTTTATTCTCTCTCACGGAATAGTGTGTTTGCAGTCTGGAGCTCTTTTCTTGCATCAGAGCAACCATATATCCCCCCATTACGATTAGATTCGTCAATAGTTAAATGGGAATGCTACATTTTCCCTGCCTTAACGGGTATTTAAATCACTCAGAATCATAGCGAAGTTGTGCGGGCGGGTACACTGTTGACTGCCCTTCTTAGATCATCATGGAATGTCTCTTTCGCTTCAAAGTTGCTCTAATTTGTTGAGGAGTATCCTGTGATATCTGTGACAGGATGTCCTTTTACTACCCGCTCCGATAATGATTGCACACAGAACAAAGCTCTGCTTGCTTTAGCACTCACCACGATACCTACTCCACTGGTTTCTGACTGGGCCACGTTCCTCCACGCATATGAAATAACAAGTGATTGCCATAACACTTTCCTGAACTTCAGTGTTTCATCGTGTTTAATAATTCAATGTCCCTGAATTCCCAATATTTCAATATTCGTGAATATAAAGTTACATGCTAGCTCTTCAGCTCTCAGTGGACATTCATAGTTGAGACAAAGATAAGCTTCTTACTTCGCAAACGATTTGCTTTGGGTTGTCTAGCGAACCCCTTCCCATTTTCTGAAATGTGGGAGCTCATAATCCTTAGCAAACGGATCCTAATCGGGTACTGACAGCCAGAGCCAGCTGAGCCCGGGGAGCAGATATACTCCTAATTTGCCTTATATCACTGGTACAAATAGTTTGGCAAATATTTTTTTTTTTACTGAATCCTTGATAACAATTTTCCCTTTTTATGTATAAATGCTCAGACGTATCGTTTAATTATGTAAACTTTTAATGGATTTTAACTATATATTTTACCCGTACACCTGTAGCCTGTATTTAAATAATTGAATTTTGTTTGATAATGTTAAGCCCAGTCTGTTGCAAAGAGCTCCTTTCAATGACTAGATCCAGAATGGTTGTCATCGAGACTGCCTAATGAATTATTGTTGGTCCAATCTTACTTTTGCCTGAGAAAAAAAGCGACATAAAAAACTCCTCTTTGTCTGAGAGTCGAATACCATGTTATGTTCCACTTGCAGAACAAGTAGGACTCTCAGTATTCTTAGAAAAAAATACTCGGAAAACATGGCAATAGCTAAATATGATGCCAACCGAATATTAAGCCAGACCAACATATCTGGTTTTGCGCAAGAAAGTTAAGAATGCACAACCGTTACACTGACTCACCTGCATGAACAAAGGGTATTACACAACAACGTGTGCACACTGCAACAGTACGGACAAAAAAAATAACACATGATCCTGATTTATCACATCTTACATGTTGGGTACACATTTCATATGTATTTGCCCGACAAAGGGGTGAGTAAATTATAGGCTTGGGTTAATTTCTTACCTTTGAATGTCTCCTTTACTGACGCCGACATCGCCGACAGGAGCTGCATGGTTTGCTCTATACACAATAAATGACTAGTTTCACTGCAACTGTACGGTTTATCGTTGGAAAAGTTAAACAATAGACGCGTTGACATAACTGGTGTAAATACACCTCGTTGCAATTGTTCTAATGATCATCATAGTCCTTTTGAAGGCCCGTCTTTTAAAAAAGGGGATTTTATAAATCATATTGTTTGCCTAACCAGGGTGGTAGTTGTGAATGAAGAATTACAGAACAGTTCTCATAGTTTCCATGAAACGTGTCCCAAATAACAAAGCAACAGCAGGTTCATAATAATGTTACTACCGTGGGCAAGTTTTAAGAGATATGAAATTAAATTAAACACGTTTTGTATGCATGTGATTATTTTTTGAAATGTTCAGGTTCAGATCCATTGGCTGTCTTGTTTGTATTCAAAAATTGTTTTTTCTAATATATGAATAAATTACATTGGTAGTTATCTTTAACAAAAAATGTACATGTCCATTTCTTCCAGTTCATTTACAAAATATTTGTTTCGACTGACAAACATTAAGTCACATCAGCGGCTGGAATTAAGTTCACTGCGGTTACGTAAGCGCTGACTGATATTAGTCACATCGCTGTCCGGTCCATGTGCGCCCTCGCCGAAGTGGCGTTCAGCCGGCGTCCACACAGAGGCGTAACTATGGTAACAAACTAGGGGTGCACCAATTTTGTTTTAAGGGGGCACTGGAGGTAACTAATTTATATGTTGTTCTTGTGCAATACACGATATAACATGATGTGAGAAGGAGGGCATATATGGGGGCGGACATTTGGTTGGCGGGTGGGGGGGGGGGGCTGCACATGCATGTTTCCTCCCTGTTGTAACGTCACTGCTTCCACCTCTGGTATCTCACTAGAGAATATACGCAGACGGCTCATTGACTAACACACTTACAGTAAGGGGTCCCTTCGGGGACCCAGACATTTAGCGCCTTGGTTTGAGGCTACACAACACTGTATCTATATGTATACAATCTCAACATGTCTGTAGACTATAAATAAGGAGGTCATTGACAGGAAACAGATGTTGTATACATAGTCTGTGGTCAAGTCGTGCACTTGGCTACCCGCAAGTGACTTTGTTTTGTGCACGTGTATATGGGCAGTCCAGGTTGTCAGGCTCTGAGATATGCCTGACCCGGGGTCACACACTAAAGGTGACTGCATATATCCGTAGTGGGTGCCTCTGGTTAGATTAGATGGAAGATCACCAGAATTGGTTTGAATTTTTTTTTTATTAAGGTAATTAACCAAATTGGGTCCCCAAAAGGGCGAGTTTCTGCGTCGGAGGGTTAAGACCAAAGTATACTCTTTGATAACTGAAAAATATATTCACATTATTCCACTCACGATTCCGTTACTAGAGAGATCCCGTTGTAACGATGTCACAATAAGAAATGGGTCATTAATGACCTCGAACAAAGTAAGATTTACTCTTTGATATGGATATAGGCAGTGTCCATAGGAACTGTGTAAAACAAGCACCTACTCAATAATAATCGTTACAAAAAAATATTCCTAAGTGTTTTGAAAAAGGCATCTCCAATGAAATGTGTAGAAAACTCAAGATTCAACATAAATATCGGGCTGTTTTACCTAAAAAATATTCACATCACTCATCATAATAATATTGATTATTATAAACAATAATACATAAAGCGTGTACTATTCTTGTTCTGCTTCTCGCTACAATTA